TTGTTTTCTTTTGTGCTTGCAAAAGCCAATAACAGGGAACATATTTGTTATTTGTATTCAGGAGGAAAAATGCTTTTCTGCAGCACAGCACCACAGAGCAGTGGCAGAAACAAGCTGGGAGTGAATCAGCTGAGCCAAATGCCTGGAGCCAGGTAGAAAAACTCATTTTCATTGTTCCTTCAGGCATAAATTAGCTTTTAAAGTGTGCTCTCTTCATTAATTCTGCTTATATATCTAATATTCAAATAAGATGCCAGTGGTGGTTTTTAATGATTATCTACACAGCTCAGCTCCTTGCTAAGAAAATACAAAAAGGGATTTTCACAGGTCTCAAGGGATTTTGTCTTTTGCAGAATTTGGTGGGGTTTTTTTCTGCCTTAATGAGGGAGCTAAAATAGGGGGAAAAAAAAGCCATGAACATATCACAATTCCTGATAAACCACAGGCTGAAACAGAGCAAAGATAATTCAAATTAAAGCTTCAGTCATCTGCTTTAATTTTGGTTGTGGAGCTGAAGTACCATGAAGATCCTGCTTTTCCCAGCCCCATGGGATCAGCCCAGGAATGTTCACTGGATCCTGCCTGGGGGTAACATCAGATTTGGCAGCCTCTGAAACCTCGGAGGTTTGGCTGGCTCCTCTGAAAAACAGGAGGGTTTTTTGTCCCCCCTATGTAATTTTATATTTTATTTTATTTTATTTTATTTTATTTTATTTTATTTTATTTTATTTTATTTTATTTTATTTTATTTTATTTTATTCATGTTTTATTATATTAAGTTTATATTATTACATTTTATTCTATTACATTTATTTTATTAAAATTTTCTATTTTACCAGCATGGTAAAATTTTTCCAGAAGTTGGCTGTGACTGCCAGGGCTCCTCCCCACCCAGGATCTGAGGGAGGCACCAGCAGTGGAAATCACTTGGCTTTAGGATAAAAAAAGAAGGTTTTTGGTTGTTGCCTTCACTTTTAACTTTTGGCAGCAGGACAGAGGGGATGTTGCTCTCTGAGCATCTGCCTGATCCTCTTTGACCTTGTCACAATCTGAGACAGATCAAGGGATGATGGAGCAATGGAGTGGTGTGTGTGCCTAGGTTTTGATTTCTTTGATTTCATTTTATTAATTTCACCAAATTTTGACGAGGTGAGCAGTTAAATGTCATTATTTCTCCGTGTTCCTGGCAGACAATTAGTGCCACTGCCTGCTCTCATTGATATTCCAGCAGTGCCTCAGATCACTCACTTCACATCTCTTTTTTATTTCTTTTTTCATTTTTGGTTAATAATTTTGTTCCATTCTGACATCCTAGGGAGGAGCTGCCAGTCCCCAGCACCAGATGAGCAGGCAGATTAATTCATTAATTTCACCTAATTTTATTAATTTCACTTTTGTTCCGAAGCTGCAAATGTCAATTAGAAGTTTTAACAAATCTGTTTAAAAATGACATTTTTCTCCTACCAGTCTCCACTTTCTCAGGTTTTAAGTAAAAAGTGTTTATGAGCTGCAGTCTACCTCAGAGAGAAGGTAATGCTTAAACTTCCTGAAGGAAAGGAAACCAAATTTCTCAATTTCCATGATTTTCTGAGGGTGAATGTGACCTTTCCTCCCTCGTTTCAGTGTGGATGCAGCACAAGAAGCGATGCTGTGGGAGCCACAGGAAGAATGCCAAGAAAAAGATGTGTAAGAGCCACATTTTATAGCAAAACTTCAGCAAATTGGTCATTAACTACAAAATTTTGTCAAGGGAGGTGGGGGAGACCAAGAGAAAACTCCCCAGAGTATTGAGAGAGTATTTTCCTGTGAAAAGTTGTGAGATTGGTGTAAAAGTGTTGTCCTGAGTTGGGAATATTTTCATATTCAGAAGTAATTAACTTGGTGTTCATCTGGGTGTGCTTCTTCCCATGCAAACCAGGATTCCTGGTTTCTTCTTCTCTCCAGATGGCACAGGGAAATAAAATCACTTTAAAGAGCAAATCGTTCGTGTGGAGCCAAATAAATTTTATTACAGAAATAGTCCTGTGATTTTCAGGGAGGAAAAAAAAAATCAGCAGAGTATGTTTGTGATTCAGCTAATGAGGTTAATTTATATTTACAGCTAATGGAGATTTGCATAAAATTACTGATTTACAGGAGGTGTCTGTTCTTTCCACGGCCTTTGAGGATGATGGAATCCAGAGTGTATCTCCCCAAAATTTGATCAATTTGGATTTAAGTCTTTTCACTTGGGGGTGTGACTGCCTTCAGCAGTCTCAGTTTATCAGAGTCATTCTTTTAAATGCTCCCAAGGCCTACATTTAGTCTTAATTAATGGCTCATTAATTTTTGTTAACCCTTGAGGTTTTCCCTTGCCTTTGGGGATTTTTTTCTGCCTTTTGGTTCACATTTGGATCTCCTGTCCTTTCTGGAAGCAGCTTCCTGAGCTGGTTTTGTAGGAGGATTATTTAACACATCCTGGAGAGGAAGGGGAAGCAAATAATTAACCTTTTCTGCCTCTTTAACTTCCCTGAGGATGGTGATTTTGGGCCTCCCAAGATTCCTGTGGGGAGTCTCAAAGGGAACATCTCCTCCCGTTCCAGCGCGCTAGATAAGACTGCACGAAATTAAAATTTCAAGACCCTGAAAATAGCAGGATCTGGTGATTCACAGGTGCAGGAAGTGGCCATTCTAACTGTCAGAACATGTCTCAATAATTCAGATCAGTGGCAGATATTCAGGATTTGTCCAGCATCCCCTGTGAGCAGAACTTCCAGAGGGGTGTGGAGTGTAGGACGCCTCGGCCGAGCCACGCTCCCACCAGTGTCAGCACCCCCCTGGGCTCAGGTAATGCAGGGAGGGGGAAAAAGAGGATTCACAGGGAATTGCTTCTCCTCTCTGTGCCAGCCAGGCCTTTCTGCCAGGATTTTTTAATGTGAAAATCATCCAGGTGAATCGTGAACCTCCGTTTCTCTGTGCGGGAATGTCAGGCTCGCACAGGAAATGCTGTTGTTCCTGTTGGAAGTCTCGTTGTTGAAAGACACAGAATTAAAGGAGAATTTATATGGACACAGCTGAAAAAGTCACTGCCTGAAAGGTGTCTGGCAGCCTTCATAAATCAGAAATTAAGTCATTTAAATTTGAACTGATACATGTGGATTTTAGCATTTTAAAGGCAATTTAATAAGCACTCAGTAAGTTTATAACAAGTTAAATGACATGATAAATGTTTGTTGAACTGGAGTGCTAAAGAGTAATGAATTAACATTTGTGCTTCATTAATTTGGTGTTAAACAGAGGCTGGAATTTCTCAGTTGGCAAAGTTTTGTCTGAGGTGGAATTCCTGAGTTATTAACCTCAGTTTGGTCTTTTATAAATAGAGTTTCTTATGCAGGTGCCTGTTCCCTTTAAATTTTTTTCTGCTTCTGTTGAAATGGGCTTAAAGATACAAAAATTCCAAAAATAATTCTCCAGCTTTGCTGTCTTCACTTTTTTTTTTCCCTGTTTTTTTTTTTTTTAATTCTAGACGAAAAATTTCCATTAGCCTTTGAGAAATACAAACAGTGCCGTGAATTTTCTTCAGATTCTTCCTTTTGTGGCTCTCAAGAGACCTCCTCCACACTGTTCAAGACTTTCACCACAGCCTGGGAAGGGGAGAGGAGCATGGAAATTCCAGTGGTGGCTCCAAGAATTTGCCCATTTGGACCGAAAGAGCCTGTAAGTCAGAAAATCACTTACACCAGGAGTTTCTATAAATATTCTTTTAATGTTCCTTAAAAATATTTTTGACAACACTTTTGTTAAGAAGAAATGCAAGCAGAGAAATGCTTGTAGGTCTTTGTGAGTGTTTGGAAATCGTGGCTCTGTGGATGAAGTAAAGAGTCCTGATTAATTAATTAACAAAAATTTGGGTTCTTCTGGCTGGGGAATGTTGGCCCCTCTCCAAGTGGCTCTTCCCTGCCCTCCATCCCTCCCTGGCTGTTGGGAATTTCCACTTCCCAGCCTTTGGAATCCTGGATTTTACCCAAAGTATGGAATGGACTTGGCAAAAGGGAAAACCGGGGCCAGATTTCACCTGGAATCTGGAATGGACTTGGAAAAAGGGAAAACCGGGACCAGATTTCACCTGGAGACTGAAATGGACTCAGCAAAAGGGAATACCCAGACTGGATTATGGCTGGAGTATGGAATGGGCTCGGCAGAAGGAAAAACCCAGACCGGATTTCACCTGGAGTCTGGAATGGACTCAGAAAAAGTGAAAACACAGACTGGATTGTGGCTGGAGTACGGAATGGACTCAGCAAAAGGAAAAACCCGGACTGGATTTCACAATGGCCCAGACCGGATTTTGGCTGGAGTCTGGAATGGACTCAGCAAATTAGAAAGCCTGGAACAGATTCCCAATGGAGTCTGGAGTGGACTCAGCAAAAGAAAAAAACGGAATGGATTTTGCCCGGAGTCTGGAATGGATTTGGCAAAAGGGAAAACCTGGGCTGGACTTTGGCTGGACTCAGCAAAAGGGAAAACCTGGACCAGAGTCTGACCAGAGTCTGGAATGGAGTTGGCGAAAGGGAAAGCCCAGACTGGATTCTGCCCAGAGTCCGGAATGGACTCTGCAGAAGGGGGTTTGAATGAGCCCTTTGTTCAAAGCTTTTTTCTCTTTTTCCTGCGCACTAAATGTGCCCAATCTCGTTGGCTTTGTTCAAACCCTTTGGAGTGCAGTTTCCAGGGTCGCTGCAGCCATTTCCACTGATCCTTTTGGCACTGAAGGTGTTCCTGAGCCACAGCATTATCTCAAATTGCCTTTGCAGACAGTTCTGTATGAAACAGTTTTGTATAACACGGTTGCCTTTTCACCTTCCTTGTTATTTCCACTGCTGGGGCTGTGGATCAGAGCTGGAATCAGAGTTTGCTCATTGTGCAGCTGACCTGGCACAGGCAGGTCTGTGTCGTGCTGCTCCAGTGCCAGAACAGTTGGAATTCATTAAATTCATTTGCAGCCCTGAGTGGCTCTGCTAATGCTGTCACTTCATGTCCAAAATCTTATTCTAGAATTAAGTGCATATTGCCACTTTGAGGGCAGTGAGGATTTGCCTCTGGTTACAAATTTTTAATTTTGGGGGGGGCTCTTCTAAAGAACAGATGTGCCTGGATTTAATAGTGAAAGATTCCAAGCAGAGAATGGGAACTGAGGAAATCTTGGATGTGTCCAGTCAGAAAATTCCATCCAATTATCTGTTCAGAGTGTTGAAATAAAGATTATGTAGCTGATGGTATCTCACAGCTAAATTATGACTGCATAGCAGCCTAAGCAAAATTTTTAACACATCAGTCTTACTCTATTTTCATATTCTGGACTGATTGGAAAGCTTAGTTTAAAATTTAATGGTCAGCTCAGGCTTTAATTGAAGGTTCTACCTAAATTTTGGATTTAAGATGTGGAAGAGAAGGATTGAAGATCAGCAGTTTTTCAGTTTACTTCTTGTATTTAATTCTGTTTGATCTCACTCAGGTTGGGTTGCCACCAGTTGCTTCATCCCTGAGGAACACCAGGCAGGCACCTGGTAAGTCTTTTATCCCAGCCCCAGCCAAAATAAATTGTTCAATAAACAGAGAAATGGATTTGAAAGGAAATTCAGCAGTCTATTAATTATTTTTCCTTTTTTTTTCCCCTTCTTTTTTTGCTCCTGGATGTCTCTTTTTAGAGGGATAAATAGCTAAGCACTCAGCCATGTGCTGCTGGTGCTAATTAGGTTATGGATTTTGTGTTTGCACCTGCACACTGAGAACTCTGACCTCTAAATCAACCTCTGTTTGAAGTGTAAATATTACTGGCCTCAGATTTCTGATACACTATTGGGAGCTGAATGTGCAAGTCTGGCTCCAAATGATTTTTCCATTATGGAATTATTGAGGGAAATTTGATAAAATATGAATGAGCCAGGCTCGCGCAGGGTGTTAAATGAAATATGTAAGCAAGATGCTATCAGAGTGTAAGCCTATGTCACAGTTATTAAGGATTAATCACTGCTAATTAACTGGGATATTTTTTTTCTCTGTCTCAGCACTCTCAGAGGCATCTCCCCCCTCCAGTGATGAGCTGCCTCCACCAGCCCAAGAGCTGCTGGATGAAATTGGTAAGAGGCACTTCACCCCAAACTGTGGGAGGCTTTCCAGCTGTGCTCAGTCAGGATTCCTCCCAAACCATTCACTGCCAAAATACACTGGAGCTTCCAAATTAGTTGCAGTCAATTATGAGGAAGATCAAGAGCTTAAATGATCAGCAGCTTAAATAACTGGCAGTTCTTGGGGCCTCTGCATTTCTCTGAGCGTTTCCTTGCTGCTGCTGGGAGCACACTGAGTGCAGGTGGAGTTTAACACGGAGAGGAGTTTGGTGTACACTCAATTTTTCAGAGGTGTCCTGGAGCAATTTGTGTTCCCTGTTAGAGGAGGCAGCTGCACCCCCCAGGTGTCTGTGCAGAGTTCAGTGATTTGCATTTTCTTCTTGTGTTCACACTCATCTCCAGTCAGAAAATGTAAAACCTCTGTGTGGTTTTCACTGGAGGCTGTTGGAGAAAAATTTGCTTTGCATATCCATCATTAAGCTCTTCCTAAATTAACAACAGACTTTGGGATAATTAAAATGTCCATCCTGACTTTATTTTCTCATTCACCAAAAAAAGAACGTGTGGAGATTGGCATCAAAGGTGATGCCATTAATGATGGTCAGGGGCAGCCTGCAGGTTAATATATAAAATAATTAAAAAATATAATATATAAATAATTATATTTATTAATATAATTATAATATTTTTGTATATATTATATTTATTATATAATATTATATATAATATATTGTACATATTATAAGACATAATATTAATATATAATTATATTGTAAAAATATAATTATAAATATTAGCAATTATAATATCAATAAATATAGAAATATTATATAATGATATATTTATATATAATAGTCATAAATACATCAATATTTATACTTTAGTATATATTATATTTATTATATATTCTATATCATATAGTACATAAGACATATTATTATATAATTATATTCTTGTAATAAATATAATTATAAATATTGGTAATTATAAACATTGATAAGTGTAAAAATATTAAATAAATATATAAAATATATTTATATTTATCTATAATGTGTATGAATATTTATCATTATATTATTATGCAATTTAATTATTGCAATAAATATAATGTATTTATTATATATTATAATATATATTATTTAAATTATATTTATTCAAAATATAATATATAAATAATATGTAAATGTACAGGTTTTCCTCCAGGGTTGGATGGATAAAGTTTTATGGTATTTTAGTGTATAGGCAGCCTAGACCAATATGGAAATAATGCTGTTTTTAACAGAACACTTAAAGCAGCAAGATTCCATCACTCCAGGCTTGGAAGGGATGGGATTGCCAGACTCCGGAGTGCAAGTGAATGGTTGGTTGCTAACAGTCCCAATGTGGAGATTAAAAATAGAAAATTCTTTTTTCCTTGCTGCAAACTGCCTCTGCGTCCTCGTCACTGGCTGTTCAGCTGGAACAATAAATGCAATTTTTAGCTTGGTGCCCCCACCAGTGTTTGCTGCCTTTCCCTGTGTGCTCCACGGGGAGCTGCTGGGGGAGGTTTGCAGCTCCAAGCAGGAGAATGAATTTTGTGCAGGAGAATGAATTTTGTGCCCTTATTGTGCCACTGGAGCTGGTGCTGTGCTCACACACAGGTGCCAACACCCACGGGAGCAGAGGTGCTGGGCAGGTGATGTCAAATCCATTCAGGGAGGGTGATTCACTTCCCAAAGTGGCCACTGCACCCCACCTGTTCATGTTCCTGATTCTCCAGCATGAAATAATGCCTCTGGTTTCACAGAGGAAAAAAAAATAGCTTCCGCTGGGGTAATGAATATTGGATTTCCTGCTCTGTTACAAAGACAGCAGAGTGGTGAATCTTTGTGCTGCTGCAAATGCAAATGGTGCTAAGTGGGAATCATTTTTAGATGTACAACAAGTCGTGTCAGAGGAGCAGAAAACCTAAATGTTTATAGGCTGTGCTTTTTTTTCTTCCTCCAGTGAGTCACAAAGTGAGCAGCAGTAAAAAAAAAAAGCAGACAAAAAAGGCAAAAGGAAAAAAAAAAAAGAAAAAGGCAGAACATGAGTTAAGTCTGTAAAAAGCTAAATAACACAGTCACTCGAGAATGATGCTGGCGCATGTTTGGTTGTCCTACAGCTTTGTTAAATCTTTTCCTGAGGGATGGAAGTTCATTGGAGCTTCTTGTTTTCAGGGGGAGAGGACTGCAGCAGGCTATTGCTGGCTGCTCAATCACTGTGGTTTTCTTGGATTTGCATAAAGCACAGCTATTTCAGACTCCCATTTTTTGTGGCAGCCTCGTGCTTCCTGCTTATCACAGCCCAGCAGAAGGGGCTGAAATATTCCCCTAAGTTTAACCCCATCACCATGAATTTCCAGCTGAGAAAATTCACCATGGGGTGCCCTTCTCAGCCCCAAGCCCAACCCTAACCCTGATTTCTGTGGGGAACAGAATTTGCTGATAAAGCTTTGAGGGAAAGTCACTGGATTTTGATAAATAGGCAAACCATCCTGAGGTTTCCCTTGGGTTTCTCTCCCATATCTGGGATTGGAAGGGGAAGGATTAAAGATTCATTTCCACATGCATTTTTCATTTCAATGGGAAACAAAATGTGGAGTCCTGTGAGTCTGGAAATGTGTTGGAGTGAAATATTTATCTGGGCCTTGCTGCTGGCCACCTTTGACTGCAGATAATGGGAATTTGTTCATCTGGTAGAAAATCAGGCCTGGCTGAGGAAAGAGTGACTGAGAAGTGGGCAACCGGAAATTGCCCAAGTGCAGCAAAGAAAAGAACATTTTAATGTCTTTGTTTATCTTCCTTTGATACTAAAATCTTGCTGTTTATGTGAATAGCTCTTGATCAAGTTAAAATGGAGAGCAGAGAGTCAGGAAAAGAATCTGAGAGAAATGAGAAGACAAATCAGAGTTTATGGACTAAGGAGTCATTTAATCTAGCAGAGGATACAGAAAGGTATGAAAAAGGATGGGAAGGCCTGTCTGGTTTTGAGTTACAAAGATTTAGAATTTTAACAAGATTCAATGCTTACAGAAAACTTTAAATCCCCTTGCGACTGTTTTATTTGGAAATTTGCAGCATGACCCTTGTCACCATCACTTTGAAATCTTTTATTGAACAGGGCTCACTCCAGTCTGGATGATGTTTTGGAAAGAATGCTCCATGCAGTTCCTGGAGATGAGGAGATCCAAGAAGAGCCTCAGGGACACACTCTTGGGTGAGCTGATAATTTCTGTTTGTGTTCAAGGGTTTATTTTGTGTGCTGTGTACAGATCTGTGGAGGACTTTTCAGAAAATGGGCTGAGACTCCTTGGGGAGTGGAGAGTGCCAGGGAACTTGCCTGGAGACGTGAATGTGGACTCTCCTACTAAATTGAGATGGAAAAGAATGTTTTCATTTAATACAGCTTCCTGTAGGTGGAAGGCAAATACTTCTACAGCCCTGAAAGGCAGTGCTTGGTCTTCACAGAAATCAGAGATAATTTGACAGAATGGGGAAATTTTTTGAGACAGAGAAAATGTGCATTAAGAGAGCAAGAGTCATGAAATCTCTTTATAACGAAGAGTTTGTGAAAATGGTTGTGCTTTCATGGCAGTATATTAGGAAATTTGAAGAACATGGCAGAAGTCATTTAAACATCATTTTAAGGAAAATATTCATATCCCAAATAACTGTTTTTCCTCTTGGAGCTAAAGATCAGAGCCCAGTAACTCTGAACAGCTCCAGAGTGAGTGCTCATATCCCTAACTTCTGTCTCACAAAGGAACTTGTTGGCATCAGAATGTTTGGCATCAGAATTTTTTATTTAATCCTGTTGAAAAAGAAAAAAAATGAGGCTGATACACAAAATTCTGTCATTCAAGGGCTGCCAGCCTGCAGGATCCAGAAGATGCTGGAAGGAAGAATGAAGTAGAGCAGAGAGGAGCCTGGGCTGGAGGCAGAGCACCAGGAATCTGTGCAGGGACTTCAGCAGGTGCCCTTGGTCTGTAGAGCTGCAGGATGCACCCAAAGTTTGAAATGTCCCAAATCTCTGGTTACTTTTGGAAATGTTGATGGCAATTTTAAAGTGTAGAAGCCTGGGGGTGACATCCCTGTGCTTGTTATTGCATTACAATAACAAATTGTTACAGCAACAGCAGCTGTGCCCCTGTTTGCTGTCACAGCTCCATAGCTGAGCTGGGATTGGGCTTCAGGGATGGAAATCAGGATTATTTCTGATTTTCTGATCCCCACGAGGGTCCTGGGTGATGCAGCAGAGCTGGGGCTGGGTTCTGATTCCAAATGAATCAAGCGGAGGAACCTGCAGCTCTTGATTCAGTTGCTGTCTGTGTATGGCTTTCATGTTCTGAGCTGAATTTCCCTGTTTTTTAGATGACATCAAGGATCAGAAATCCCACCCCCAGCAGCAGCTGGCTCGAGCTCCACCCTTCAGGTGAGACTCTGTGACTTAAACTGGAATTGTGGCAGAAATTTAATTGTGGCATGAGCTGCATTCCTATTTTCCATGAAAAAGAGGCACTGTGAAATCCCATTCCCTTCATCTTGTACTTTACAGAAAAAAAACAACTTCATAACCATTTTTTCCTCTTTTTTTTTTTTTTTTTGTTCCCTGCAGGAAAATTGTTTTGGATGAGAGCTCTCTCCATGATTAAAACACAAGAGTGAATAAATTCTACACATCACCTGCTTGCTGCTGCTTGCACAGTGTTTAGTGTGTGAATTACAGCCCTTTTTGGCCACATAAACACCTGTAAAGCTCAGATTTCCTTGAACAGCAGCAGCAAGTTCAGAAGGAAACCCAGTGCTCTGTGTTCTGAAATGTTTTGTACTGGTTTGATGCCATTGTTGCGTGCCCAGGCAGTGTCAATGTGCAGAAGTGAGCTGCTTTTTTTTTTTTTTTTACTGTCACATCCTTATGAAACTGCTTTTTATTCTGCATGTGCACATTTTCATAAGCTAGAGAATTCCTTGCTCTGTTGCATTATGCAGTTTTCAGATTAAAGACAAAATGATTGTAATTCTGTGGGCTGCTGGTGCTGCTCAGGCACTGAAATGTTTCCATGCTGGAGTGTTGCAGCCCATGTAGAGTCTGTTTTTCCTTGCTCATTAAATTTAACAAGGTAATTTCTTGTTTTCTCTTTACTTAGTGCTTTTGTGATCTAGTGTTGAACTGATTTGACTGATTAAAGGGATTAATTGCTGTGCAAAAAGCTAATGAGGAAAAGGCAGTGTTCTCCAGAGATTGCAAGTGCAGCAATATGTTCCCTGCCAGCATCAGACAAGAATGTGGAAAAAAATGTGGTTGTTATGAAGATACCTGGTGTTTAATTCAACCACATTTTGGGTAGGCCTCGTCCAAAAAAAACCCACCAAGATCTCTGGACATAATTGAGTTTTGGATGAGAATTTTGATAGGCACAGCTATTTCATATTTAACACTTTTTTTGTGATAAATCCTGTTCAAGGTGCAGGAGTGAAGGTTGTCCTGTTCCCTGGGCTTTGAGCTGCTTTTGCACATCTGGGAGTACCAAGTTTTGTATTTTCATTCCTGCTTTTGCAAGGAAATGCTCCAATTCTTTACCTGTTCATTTGGTTAAACAACATTAATAAAAGTTTCCAAGGTTATTGTGCTGCCTTTGGTTCTTTTTCTGGCTTGGGGGTTCATTTTAGGGGTTGTTTTGTTGGGGTTTGTAATTTGTTTTTAACATTGCTTCCCATCATCCAGCCATGATACAACTGGGCCCTGATGGAGCTGCTCCAGGGAGGATCCTGCAGGGGTGGGGGAGGAAAGATAAGAGCAAATAAAAATGTTTCTGAGGAAAGATAAGAGAAAATAAAAATGTTTCTGAGGAAAGATAAGAGAAAATAAAAATCTTTTATGTGTTTGTGCTGTGGTGGCAGTGACAGAGGCGCCTCAGGCCTAGCACAGGCCTCGCCCCAGGCTGTGACACAATTCTGGCCAAAAAAATGTTTAATATTTTCTAACCCAGCCTTGTTCCAACCTGGATTCTCTGTGTGGGACTCCTGTGCTGCAGGCAGGAGGATTTTTATTCCTGGTAGGAGCTGCTGGAACAAGATCCTGCTCCCCATGGCCCCGGGGCTGTGTCGGCAGCAGGGACAGAGAGCGCAAAAAGTTAAATTGCAAATTTAGATTTTGGGATCCTGCCCTTGGTGGCTTGTGACTCATAACTGAGGGTCATTCCCTCTCACTTTGGGTGGTGTTTTTGTTGGGTTTCAGGCTTGTTTAATTAAATAAAAAGTAGCCAAAGCCAAGTGGCTGCAGCAGTGTGTGGAGAGCAGCACGGGAGCGTTTTCACATGCACAGAATTATCCATCCCTGGCTGGATAACAACATGTGAAATCTCAGCTTCCTGCATTTCTTGTTCTATTTTATCTGTGGGACCAAATGGTGAGCAGACTGTGAACAGTTTCCCTATCTTTTTTTAATCTTAATGTGGAGAATTTTTATTTCTGTTGGTGGAGGGCCTTTCAAGCAGCCCCATGGCCTGTCTGATCTCCTTATCGGGGCCAGAACACAACAGAGATTTCAGTTTCTCAGCTGCTTGTGCTTCCCCAGATTTAAGTTCAGCAAGGACTTGAATCATCCTGATAACGTAAAGCATGGGCACAAAAGCTGTGATTAACAGGAACAATTAAACAAGGACCAGTGCAAGACAGCAGAGGAGATCAGAGGGCCCATCTAATGCTGCTTTTCAGCTTCCCAGAGAATGAAAGCCCAATTAATTAAATTAAAACAGTGATACTGAGCTGTTCTAATTCCTCTCTGAGCCCTGTGAGCTGTTTGCACAGCAGGAGAGAGGGAGGCTGGGGCAGGGGTGGGGATGGGTGTCCTGTCCACCCACACCAGGTCATGGAATGGTTTGGGTTGGAAAATACCATAAATATGATTTAATTCCACCCCTCTGCTACCTTCCACTAGCCCAGGTTGCTCCAACGTATTTCATTCCTTTGGACTGGGGTGGTTTGGGGATTTTTGTTTTATTTTTGGTTTGAAGCAGAGAATCTCAGGTGGTGAAAAAAACCCAAAAACCAAACCCTCTGTCTCCCAGATCTCATCATCCTCCATGGCAGTGCAAATTGCTGGGGTGCCTGGCTGTGGATCACCTCATTTTAAAAGCAATTCAACGGTTCAGGATCAGAACTCTATAAGACAACTCTGAAGGCTGGCAGGCTTTTTTAGAGATAGAGGAATTGGGTGAAACCCAGTTTCATCGACTTGCTGCCTTCAATATCACCTTCAGCAGCCTTTCCTGGGCTCCTGAATGACAGAATCTGCCTCCAAAACCAGAAGTGTGATTGCAGCTGGGGTAGATAAACACTGGGATTGGAGATTTGAGATGAGGTGTGAAGCTGTGGAGCCCATGGAGGTTTTTTATCTTTTATTTTATCCTTTCAGGCTTTGGCATCTTTTGTTTGCTCCTGGTGGGCCTCTGCTATGCCTTGAGGCCTGTTACCACTTGTGTTTTCACCCTTGCTGGGAAACCAGTGCATTCAGACCTTTCCTTATTGCCTTAAGTCTAAAAAAAGAAAATTAACTTTGTGTCTGTTTTATTTCCTGGCTGTCTGTAGGGATGTTTGTGGCACTTGCCACGAGGGATGTGCCAGCTCTGGTGGCAGGAGGGGATGTGTTTTCTGTCAAACCTTCCATCAGCCAATAAAACAGATGAACTGCTCAGTATTTATCAGTGTTTATTAACACAGTTGGCTCTCAGACATTCCTGCTGGATTTATGCCAGGTTTGCAGCATCTCCCTGAACTTCCCAGCAGGACCAGGCGTTGCAGGCAGGGCTTGGTCTGTCAGGGGATGGTGACAGACCATGTTCCACCTGACTCTGGGCCAAACAGCACTGAGGGAAAATTACTGTTCATTTTTTATTTGGTGTTCTTGAAAGGCTCCAAGGGGAGGGAGGGGGTTCCTTAGGAGAGGGACATAGTGAAAATCTGCATTGTCTCCCATGATGGGATGGCTCCTCACCTGCAAGAAGACACTGTCCTGTCTTTTTTATGCTGTTGGGAACCTCTCCAGCCTCTGAGAGCCCCCATCAGCTCCACCCCAAGCCCACTGTGCTGCTGTGGGTGGCACAGGCAGGTCCTGGAGCTGGCACTGGTGCAGGCAGGACGTGGCTGTTGTCACACAGGGTGGGATGGTGTCACCTTGTTCCTCAGCCCCTCTGCAGCCACCTGGGGACTGGGGGCAGCTGGAGAGGTTTTCCCCATGCCCCTGGGGTGGTAACCACAGCACAGCATTCCCAGCAGGCAGCTCTGGAACTGGGCAGGAAGGAAGGGACAGGTTATTTGTGGCAGCAGAAATCCGGCGTCACCCGGAGACTCGGCAGCTTGGACCATGGTTGTATTTTGGGAAAGATCTCTATCTATTCCCAGCCCAACTCTTTGTGGTTTATGGACAATAAAAGTTTCATTCTGTTTGCTTTGTGCCTTCAACGAGCAGCTTGTGATCCAACATTAAGTTGCCTGACCCCATAAAACCATGGAAGCAGAAAATGAGCTCTTGTTCGGGCTTGCAGGCTGCTCCCTCCCTTTCCATCTTACTCCCAAATCCTTGCTGCTTACACAGCAACCCCGAGCCTGGGACCACACTTCCACATAGGATAGATGGTTCCTCCAGGATTTTTGAGCTGTTCTCCAGCTTAGTTTGTTGGTTGCTGTGTTTGTTTGGAGCTTTCTCTCACCTGTTTGTTCATGAAGACGTAGATGATGGGGTTGTAGACCGTGGCCGTCTTGGAGAAGTAGGAGGGCAGGGATGCCAGGGCTGGCTGGATGACAATGTCCTTGTTGGTGGCCACCACCAGTGCAAAGGTGGTGTAGGGCAGCCAGCAGGTGAGGAAGGCCACCACCATGGCCACCACCATGCGTGTCACCTCCCGCTCCGCCTGCTGCGTCGTGTCCGACTCCTGCTGCTGTGCTGCGGCCTGTGGGGGTTTGGGAGAGAGGAGAGGCCTGTCAGCAGCCTGGAACAGCATCCCACCCCTTCTGGGACGAAACAATTGCCGGGCTCACTTACCGCCCGCAGCGTCAGCAGCAGGTTGGTGTAGGAGAAGAGGATCAGGCTGAGGGGCACCACGAAGCAGGTGACAAACAAGGCCAGGATGTAGCTGCTGTTGTTGCTGCCCCCCGTGTACCAGTTGGGCCCGCAGGAGGTTCTCAGGCCTGGAATAAAGGTTGGGAATGAACCTAAAGCACTTAGGGCTTGGATGAGGGCTCAAGGATGGGCTCCAAAACAGCCATGCCACCTCGTGTGTCCATCCCCCAGGGCTGGAGATCAGCCACTGGGTGTTTGGGGTGGCCAGATGCGATTTGTGATTTGTGGTGGAGTTGTGTCAGCCCCTACAAGAGCAGGTTTGGGCTGGGTGATGCTCCAGCAGCCAGAGTTGCTCCAATAACTGCTGCAGAATGTCCTGTGGTGGGGAACATCAAAAGAACAACCTCCAGGAGAGGATTATTGGCTGAGCAAGCAGGACATATTAACAGGAGAGATTAACCCTTTAGACTCCAGCCCAGACACCCTCCAGCTACCCCAGGCTTGAAAACAAGATGCAAAAAGACAACACAGCGGAGTCTGATGCACATCTGCCCTACCTTCAGGCACGTAGCTGCTCCAGCCCAGCAGTGGTGGGGTTGTCCAGAGCAGGGACCAGCCCCAGGTGAAGGCACAGCCGCTGGCAGCGTGCCGGCGCTGGAACCGAAAGTCTCCCAGGGGTCTGCAGACCACCAGGTACCTCTCCAAGGCCAGGATGGCCAGGGACCACAGCCCCACGATGCCTGGGGGGACAGCAGGGGTTGTGTCTCAGGGACAGCTTCTGCTGCCCGTGTGGGACATGGTAGATGATGGTTTAGTTCAGGGAAATATTGTTTGAACAAGAAATCGGATGTTTTTTCCTCACATCAGGGACAGCTGTGGTATTTGGCTGTTAGAAACTGTGATTTTGGCACTGCTTCTCTCACAGCAGGGACAACGGGGATATTTGGCCCTTAGAGATGAAGTTGGCAATGGGTGGCTGTGACGCCTCGTGGTTACAACAGCACAGTGTCCTCAAGGAGAGGTTTTGTGCAATTTCCAGCCCCTGGTGCACAGCCAGCACCCATGAAATACATCCCAGACAAGGATTCCCAATGTCCCCCAGTGGCATTTCCCACTCTGTCAACACCAAGACTGGACGTGTGGTGACCTGGCACAGCCAACCCTTCCCTGTGCTAACCAAGAGCTGAAGGACACAACTTCCACAACATAAAAGCGTTGACTTTAGGTGCAGAAACATCTCCAAAGCCCCTCTGCCAAACCCAAAAGCACCACCCACAGCCCAGGGGCAGGTCTGGAGTGCTCTCCTTACCTGTCAGGGACACCATGAAGCCCTCCAGCTGGCAGAGGCGCTCCCCAAACACGAAGAAGCCCTGGATGTTGTTGGAGAGGCTGACGGAGCTGCCGCAGAGCGTCACCAGCAGGTTGGCCACGGCCAGGTTCACCAGGATGTAATTGAGGGGCGAGCGCAGCCTCTTGTGCCGGATGGACACCACGATGACCAGGCCATTGAGCACCGAGGCCGAGGCCACCACCAGCCCCATGAGCACGGCCACAGCCACGTACA